ACCTCAAGAAACCCCATTGGTCCTCACGGGTAGGAACCAAACCCAACAAACCCCCTCCAAACCACCTCTCGGGTAAGGGTCAAACAAAGCAAACTGAGCTCCCAACTAGAGCCAAACCGAGCCCAGCAAGGGCCAAAACCGAGCCCAACAAGGCTAAAACAAGACCCAAGCATTGATATTAATTCAGGCTTTAATAGAAATTAAAATTCCAGCCACTTCTAAACAAATCCAAAATCAGTAAGAGCCCAAAGTGAGCCTCCAAACCAAGCCAAAATCGAGCCCAACAAGAACCAAAAACCAAAACAGAGCTCAACAAGGCTAAAACAGGACCCAAGCATTGATATAAATTCAGGCTTGAACAGGAATTAAAGTTTCAGCCACCTGTAAGTAAAACCGAGCCATCCAAAGCCAAGGAACAACCTGCATGTCTAAATATTCCAAGCATACAACGATTCCAACAGATTTTTTAGCGGGAGAGATGTCTCACGAGGAGCTAAACCAAGCCCTTAAAACAAGATACAAAGCTTTCCAGATTAAATAAATTTCCTCCTAACATGCATTTCAAGTAAGGGAAAGCCGCAGGAGCTAAACCGAACCCCCACATATGTATAAAAAAAGTAAAGTGAACTCTCTAGCATTCATTTTAAGCAAGAGCAAGTCTTAAGATGCCAAAACCGAAACCCCCTAGCATGCATGAAAGACCAAATAGATTCCTCAATATCTCATGCCGAACGAAAGATAAACAGAAAGTTTCATAATACACCTCCCAACATGCTTGCAAGAGGAGTATAAATTATTCCAAAACCCTGCTTCAATTATCCAAATCGCTGCCAACAAAAACATGATATGATAAACAGAAAACATGTCATATATCCACCACTTTAAGCAAATATCCAAGTCCAATTTCTAACGCATGCTCACATTTCATCCCCCACATGCGAATATCTCAAAAATATATGACAGTCAAGTAAACTAGTATGATGTACCATCCAACAGGGCCAAGTTCAAAGGCTCGGCAGAGAGGAAAACCGAAAGGAAAACAGGGCACCGAAGAAAAAGGGGGAAAGAAGAGGTACCTCCTTAATGCCAATGTAAAACACTGCAACACAAGAATTCACCTCAAGGAAATGCTCTCACAGAAATCTTAGGATCAAGTGGCCAGCCTGTGGCAGCGAGAAAAATATCGGGAAGAAGAGAAAATTTGTCATTCAAGTGTATCAGGGAGCAAGCTTCCCAGAGTCAAACTACCAAGAAAAGGAAAACCACAGCTCGGGGAGACTGGCACGGCTTCGGGAAGGAAGGCCGCGGGCAGAAAGTGTCGGGCAAGGACGAATGAGAAGTCAACTTTCTTTTGCGTGGAGGAGGAGGAGCTTGGTTGGCTCCAGACCGAGGAAGGAAAAGGCAAGGACGAATGAGAAGTCAACTTTCTTTTGCGTGGAGGAGGAGCTCGGTTCGCTCGAGACTGAGAAAGGGAAAGGTCAAGCACGCGAACGGGAGAAGGAAGGGAGGCAGGGCTCGGGTGCATGAGTTTAGGGATTTAGGGCTTAAAGAGAAAAAGAAATATTTTGCTTATATAAATTAATATATATATATATATACCAATTCATATGCGATTTATTCACGCGCGGCGACGTAACAAAATGGATGTCCTTCCTAAGCAAAATCGGCGTTCCGGAGTGCCGGTGCAGTCCGTTTTGTCATCCGGGGTCGCTCGGACGACGTCGTCGACAATCGGGTCAAAAACGCGTCAAAATTCAAATTTCACAAAATTTCGACCCGCAATCGATTGTTTCAAAAATTTTATTCGAGTCTTCGACAGGTAACGGTGCAAGCGATGTGAATTATGGCGATCAGACGTGCCGATTCTCCGAATTGTTGTGAGCGCGGGAGTGCGAATTGTGCAGAAGGCCACCCTAAGGCTCAAAAGGTCTTATAGAAATTCTTTTTGGGTTTCCTCATGTTGGTTTCACCCTTCTAACTGCTAGAAGTCGCTGCTAGAAGTCGATACCACACACCGATACCACACACGCGAAACTCCAAAAAGGTACAAAAGTGGGTTGGATTTCTAAAACGATGCGGGTCTCATTTCTAAGGTTCTAAGATAGTCGAAGGGAGATCCCTAAGGCTAGATCATAAACTATAAATAAACTCAGGTTTAAACAATAAAGTAAAATTTGATTAGATTATGCTTAATATATCTCATGGGAAAAAAAAACTTCTGATTTTGAAAAGTAGTTGCTTTTCTTGAGTGATCAGAAACTTAAATGATCTTTCCTTCCTCACATTTGATTTCCTAATGATCACATGCATATAAGGAAAGTTTAAAATATTAAATTAATGGCTATCGAACAGCATAAACAGTTCAAAAGAATTAATCTAGATAATCTCGTGTATACTACAATATCAAATATCTTTTCCCAGCGGATAAAGTAACCACATAAACCCTTAAATCTTAGATCTACAAGAAAAAAATGAAAATTTAAGCAAGACAGCTTTCAAAACAACAATTGCAAGAACAACAACAACAACAAGCCTTCATCCAACTAAGTGGGGTCGGCTATGTGAATCCTTTTTCAAAAGTGATTACTAAAATAATTGAAAGCAATATTGCCTTGTAACTTACGCAATGTACAGTTTTCTGAAATTGGTACAATTAGCACAGCACTATCATGCAATTAGAAAAAAGATGTAATGAGCTCACCTTAAATCCCAATTTGTTATCTAAGCAAGACTGCCAATCTTCTTTCATTTCCTTCAAGGGTACTCTATCATGCGGCCTGTCAAGAAAATGATTTCCAGGCACGATATAATAAGATTTCATAAGGCTAAATCTAAGCCTTTCTCAGGTAAAATCGTATTCTCTAGAGGCTCCATGAATATCCTGTAATTCCTACCTTTTAGGTCCAGATATGCACGGCTCTACTTCTTCCAGATTCAGTTCTAAAAAAGATGAATACACTCTTTGAACCTGGGCCTACGGTTGGAATTCGATCAACAATCATAAAATAATAAAGTCTTGCTCATGAGAACTGCAGAAACTATCAACTGAAACAAAAGGAAAAATACCTGACTGTGGTCAACAAACATTTGATTGGCACGCAAGTATGATTCTATCATTGCAACCTAAAATTGACAAGGAATTATTAATCATTAACAATAAGCAAAACAGTGGAGCAGCAGCAGGTGGTATCAATGACTAACAGTTTCATCACTTCTTCCAGTTAGCGTCAGATATTGCAGTGTAACATGATCCACAGGAAAGAACCCCATGGTAGCACCATATTCAGGTGACATGTTTGCTATAGTAGCACGATCTGCTAGTGAGAGCTCACTCATGCCTTCCCCTACAGCCAGAGTAATTGAAACACATGAATAATGATGGAGAAACTGGATAGATGCAACAATAATGCATTAGAATGAATTTTGCAAATACCATAGAACTCGACAAACTTCCCAACAACGCCATGCCTCCTAAGCATTTGCGTCACAGTGAGGACCAGGTCAGTAGCTGTCACACCGTTCCTAAGTTTTCCCGATAACTTAAACCCCACAACTCCAGGAAGCACCATACTCATTGGCTACACGTAACAAAAATAAGTCACAAAGAAAAAGAAAATTGTGTATTAAGAAAATTAACCAGTAAACTAATAAAACCAAAATTAGATGCTACAACAAACGTGACCTGTATTCATTATATCATAAGTATCATTAGTCATATCCCAACATGAATATGACTACTAAATATGCACAATAAGTGTGACCCACATAATAAAAGGAAAAGCATAAAACATGATTTAAACACAATTAATTGAAGGCCAGAAGTAAGAGTGGTCACAATTTTATGTGGGTTTGAGACTATAATTTGTCCACTACTAATGAAGGAATCAAATTTGTTACGGCCGAGTCTGACAGTTTAACATTAACCAAGTCAGGAACTGCAATCAGACGATATTAATATTTCTCTCCTCTTTTTTTATCTCCCCTTCCAGTTGGATTAAAGTGAACGTCGACAAGGCACTTCTACACTCTGGTATTGTTGGCACGGGTGCTTTATTTGGGACAAGCTTGGTCATGGACTTGTGGCTATGGGACAGTTCTTGGAACATTGGGATGTTGGCCAGGTTGAGCTTAGGGCTACTTATTCTTTCTAATCTATATGCGAGACATAGATGTTGGAGTGCAAAAGTATTATCATTGAAGGAGATAATATTAATATCTTCCAGTTCTTACAAGCAACAATGAGGAGGGACAATTAGCAAGGCTTACCAAGTGTGACTCCTAATTTTGTTTTTCTGACTTTTTTTAAGCAAGTTTTTTTGTACATAGATCACCTGATCGTAATAGAGTCACTCATTTTTTTTTTGCTAAGAGTGCCCTTAGTGGTTCATTATTTTGATGCATGTAGATGATGATAAGGACCTTTCTACCATACTTGTAGGTGATAGGGCTCACTTTTGTACATCATAGATGCATACTTGCATAGTTTTTAAACTTTTTGATTAAGTAATGCAACTGTACATTTCAAAGAAAGAAACATTGCAAAAGGAAAACTACAATCATAACACAATATAATTCCAATCAGCAGTAGTCCTTTTGTAAATTAAATCCCTCCCGTCAAATATATGAATCTATATTTTTTCCTAAAATAAACAATTAAATTCAAAACTAAGTTTTTCATCATTTAGTGAACAATTATAATTTTATTGTGCGTTAACTTAATATTAAAATATTTTGCATGAATGTCCTAAGAAAAATATAATTTATTGACAAATTAAACTGTGAATTTTCAATCTTACTTTATTTAACCATTACTATTTCAATATAAGTATTTACTCATTTTAACTACTTTAATAATTCATATCAGGATTGTCGTCATGCCCGAAGGTTTTCTCAAAAACGTACCTATAGGTACTCTAAAAATTTGCACCCAAAAGTTATATTTACCATTTCCATCTTTTTTATCGTGCACGGGTACATCGCATCTCCAGCTAGTATCATCCGAGGGTAATCCTGATTAACTTAATCATTTATATTTCATTTCCTTTAATTATCTCCATTTAAAGACATTGAATAATCATTTTTCCTAGTTTTATTTCCTTTAATTATTAAGTTTACAGCATGCATATAATTATAAAAATATATGTTTAAAGCATTAAAGAAATTCTTTATTAAATAAACATTAATTTAATACAAATAAAAAAATAATTACTCATATTTAATGTCGCAACGTTCTTCTTCTCCGTCTAAACTGAACTTCTATAGCTTAAATCCTGTTTAATTAAACCTATATATATTTTGAAAAAAGACCAAGGGCTAATATATTAAAGAAGAAAAGGTACATATAAGTTGTATGAGATGATCTAAAAAAAGACCCAACTCACACAATACAACACACAAAAATCTAAAAAAGTTAAGATACATAAAGATAAAAAACCAAAAATCCACCAACAGGCGCATAGGTGCTAGGGACACCCCACTTTAGTTCTTCCTCTGACTCTAGTTCTTGAAAGAGAGTCAGCTAACAAATTAGTAAGGTGTGTATCATTACCAGAAGTAACTAAAGTATCATCCATCAGATTTCTGAGCTCAAGTATGTCTTCATTCTTCTTCTTCTGTCTGGATGTGTAGAACTGTCATTTCTCATCCGATGATTGACTCTTGGTTTGAAGGTAGCCGGACAGGTGTAGGACGTTGCACATCATGATCCCCCTGAGTCTGAATAGCATTGACATCTTTTTGAACCTGATGAGGCGGTAATGAAGCAACAGAGATATTTTCACCTGTAATATTAGTGATAGGTTCTAGGGCAAGCAGAGTCTGAAGAATCTTCCTCACCTCCACGATAGGAGGTTCCAAAGGTGAGGGAGCAACAGCAATGTGTGGAGACTGAATGGCTGATATATTGTCTGAGGGAATAGTGACGTCTTCAAGTATATCCTTTTGATGATCGATAGTGTCAATAAATTGGAGTTGATCAGGAGTTGGAATCACTGTCTCTAGCAAAGCACTTTGCTTTTTTGGTCTGAGGTGGTGAGGTAGATAATGACATTGAGAACTGGAGTGGTCGAACATACGACAGTTCGAACAATACGAAGAAAAAAAGCTCAATCTCTACCTTCTGTCAATATCCATGATACTGTGTGCCCAACCAAATTTCCTCATAAGCAAAAAAAAGTAATGTCTCTTTCAACAAGTACTCTAGCTTCAGATGGACGGGAAAGATTAAAAGTAGGAATATCTGTCTTGAGTGGCTTACCATAAGATGAGGCAATCGAATATAACACTTTTTGAGAATACTAATGAAATTTCAGACCAGGAAGGCCAATCCAAACCGGAACGATTGGCGGTTTCGTCTGTGAGTCAAAATCCACAAACCATTTCAGAATTTTCATTGCTCTATTATCAATCCAGATTATCTTTTCTAGCAAATAAGTATCTATAATCTTCTTCATTATTAATTTGAATAAGAATGTGTCTCTCATCTAATAGTCCAATTTTCCACTCCCCAACAATGTGCATAAGTTCAAATTCCTAGTGAATAAGCTCCATTTCGGGATAACCATATAGAAATTTCCCAACCAAATTTAAACGACAGGAGGAAGCAAATTGAATACCTTCAGCTTCTATTGAATACCTTCAGCTTTAAAAAAGATGGCAGGCTTCTCATTTTTTCTACCAGGTTTCTTGATGTCCTTCTCTCACTCAAACGAATGAGAGAAATAGCACGATTTAAGTGTACCTGAGACGTGGACACCCGTGAGGGCAGCTACATATGATCTGTCTGAAGTCATCCCCAAAATAAAGGTGTGGCCTTAAGAAGAAAACAAGGAAAAGTGGCGTAAAGAAGCTGAAAAGGAGAACATCGGGAGCGCGATGCAGAGGAGCTGCAAAGCGAGACGGGAAGTGTAGACCGAAGAAGCAGAGAGGGAGAACACCAGGAGCCGCACTGCAGAGGAGCCGCAGAGCTAAGACCGGAAGGAGCCGCAAGGGCTGCTCGCGAGACGGGAGCCGCAGACCTGAAGATAGCCGCAGAGGCACCTGCGAGACGAGAAGCCACAGAGAGCCGCACCGTAGAGGAAGCCGAGAACTCCCGAGTCGGGAAAGCTCGCAAGACGCAGGGAGACGGCGCGAAACAGAAAAGACATCGCCGTAACAGTATCTAGGGTTTGCCATCAGGCGAAACCCTAGCAGAGTCAAGCGGGAAGGAAGACAAAGTCATCGATAAACCTACTATATAACCTGCCCACTCGATATCACCATATGCAAATGGTTCCAAAAAGAGAAAATACGAAAAAATACATAAAATACCTAAAGAAAATAAAACCAAAAAGTGTCAAAATCCTGATTATCATGTAACTAAAGAGTGATCCAATTTTGCCTTGCCTCTGCCTCTAGTTCTAGTAAAGAAGCCAGCTAATAAATTGGTGAGATGAGTGTCATTGCCAGTAGTAACTAATGTATCATCCAATAAATTCCTGAGCTCGAGTCTGCCCCCATTCTTCTTCCTCCTGGAATAGACTTGTCATTTCTCATCCGAAAATTGACTCGCTTGGTCAGTGGATTGGTCTAAAGTGTGTCAAACATGTGAAAGTGTTGAACATTAGAATCAACTACTTGTTGTACAAGCTGGTCTTTTATCAGATCGGGGGAGCGGGAGCCTTCTCGTGTGTCCTGGCATGTAAGCGAGTCTTCTTCAATAACAGTGAGTGGTATAAACACATTTGGATATGTACCTGTATATGATGTTCTTCATCAAGAACTGCAGGGTTGGCAAGGGGGGATCCATAGGCAAATCCTATCTTGTGGGAACTTCCTCCACAAATTGAGCATATATGTCCATAGCAATGGGGTAAGACCCATCTTTGTTTGTTTGAGCTTTAGCTTTCAAGTTTGGATGAAGCTTGTGACATTTATCAAGCTTATGTCCAAACATCTTATAGTGGGTACAATAAAAAGGTTTATGTTCCATTACAATTGGTTGCCAATATCCATTGTGAGTTGTGTCCAGCCAGACTTCAGTAATATCAAGTAAGGTAATATCTTTTTCCACAAGTATTCTGGCCACAGAAGGCCTGGTTAGGTTAAAGGTGGGCATATCTAGCTTCATAGGATCTCCAAGAATAGCTTCAATAGAATACAAAACCTGATGATTAAAGAAATGCAACTTGAGACCAGATAAACTAATCCACACCGGAACTGTAGGAGACTCGTGATTTGAATCAAAATCAGGAGACCACTTAAGTAATTTTATTGACTTGTATGCAATGTTGAGATTTTTTTTCAAAGAAAATCCGAACATAATCATCAGCTAGGGTTAACTGAATCAACACATATCTCTCATCCAAATATTCAACTGTTCACTTGCCTACAAGTTTGAGATCGTCAACACTCTTTTTGATAACTTTCATAGGTGGGTGTCCTCACTGAAATATCTTAATAAAAGCGAACTTAAATTTCTCAGTTAGAGTTGAAATTTCTGAATCAGAGAAAAATAATGTTGTTTTCACACTCTTCTTGCTTATCTTCTTAAGAAAATGGCAATCGCTCGTACTATCACGACATTTCTTGTAGATTGAGAGGAAAACAATAGTAGATTCCGCAAGATGATTACTCATCACGTGGGCAAAAGAAGCTTTGTCGGGATGAACCGAAGAAGGAAGCGCCGTAACAACGATCCTTCAGCCCGCAGATACAAAAGCCAAAGAAACCAAACAGTCCAATCCGATGCAGTGCGACGACGCGCGTCGGGACGTCGAACCCGCGAAAACAGACGCATGACGAAAGAAGCAAACGTGTATTGATCGAAACAGCAGAAACACGAGCAGCACAGGCATAGCTCGATCAGCCCAACAGTGAGCAGGCGCAGCACGATTACGATCGGCCCTACAGCACAGGCGCAACTCAACGAAACAGGCGACAGAACAGAGGAGCGTACTCCCCTTCTTCTACGAGCGTGGAATACAGGTAGCAGACGCTAGGATTTAGTCGTGAGGAGAAACCCTAGTAGAGCCTCGACGAAGCAGACGAGTCATGCTATATATATATATATATATATCGAAATGTCTGCTCTACTAGGGTTTACTCTGGGAGTGATTCTATCGCGTCTTGAGTTGCCCTAGATTCTTTACGCTAGTTCCAAATCGTAGCCTATTTTGTCGTCTTGTCGTGCTCGGAGGGAAGCAGTTTCGTCGTCTCGTCCTCTAAGGACGAGATTGCATCGGCCTCGGAGACCGCATCAAAGCTGTTTCGTCGCCTTGTCCTCGAAGAAGGGGATTTCGTCGGCATCTTCGTGCTCGAAGAAGAGGGTTGGAGACGTGACGAAGCTGCTTCATTGACTCGTCGACCCCAGCCGCTCGCTTGATCTACGTGGCACCTCTGCTTGACGTCTCCTTCTACTGGTGATGGCTTCGAACCAATCTTATGCTGCTGCCCTTGCGGGTGACCATGCATCAGGTATTCCTAAATCGTGTATGTTCACGCCTTCATTTGCTCTGTCGGAGGGTGGCGAATTATATTTCATCAAGAAAACTGGTAGGAAGAATGGGAGTTAGTCATCTTTTTTACTGAAGTTAAATGTAATATGTTTGTTTCCTCTTGTCGCCTGAATTTGGTCGGGATATTCCTTTATGGTCATCCCAAATTGGAGCTTATTCGTAAAAAATTTGAGTTTATGCAATGAGTGGAAAATTAGGCTTTTAGATGGGCGGCACAACCTTATTCAATTTAACAATGAAGTGGATTACACACGTTTATTTGCTAGAAATCTAGTTTTGATTGATAACTGAGCGATGAAATTTCTGAAATGGACTATGAATTTTGACCCACATACAGAACCCCCAATAATCCCGATCTGGATTCGCCACCCTAGGCTAAAATTTCATCATTTTAACCAAGAAGTGTTATACTCTATTGCCATAGTCTATGGTAAGCCACTCAAAACGGACATTTCCACGTTTAATTTTTCCCGTCCTTCAGAAGCCAGAGTGCTTGTTGAAAGAGACATCACCTTAAATGCTCCTGAGAAAATTTGGCTACGCTCACAACGTCAAGGATAATGGAAAAGCGTTGTTATTGAGTCTTTTCCTATGCACTGCTCTAACTAAAGTATGTTCAGTCATTCCAATTCTCACTGTTACCACTCACCCCCATCTAAAACCACAAAAACACAATGCTCCTTCAGAGATCCCCCCTCCCCTAACCTCGCCCAATGTGTATCTGTTGAGAACCCTTTCCTTCTCAAAGTTAGTGAAACTCTTGATCATCACAAGGATATCTCTGACCCCAATAACATCGTGGAAACCTTACCATCTAGTCCACGGCCTAACGTTGTTGTAGGTTCAATTGTCCCCACCGGAAATTTTTCAACTCTTCAGCCTCTACAAACTGCTCAAGAAGTAGGCCCTATAATTTTGAAGGGAAATGATACTTCTATTACTCCAAAATTTTTGTATACTTATGTTGTGGCCACCCTAATCTTGGGGGAGTGCCAAGCTCAAAATGTGCAACAACCTGCAAACAATCAACACGCTATGGATCAACACATTGTAGCTGCTCAATTGGGCACTCCATTATTGGAGTGTCAAGACAATGATGGGCAACAATTTGCACCTATTCAACAATCATTGGATCAACATATTGCCTTTGACAAGATGGGAAGTTCAACGGCTGAGGATTGGCAAGTTCAAACATATAAGAAAAGAACAAAGGAAATTCTGAACTCAGGCGTAGACAGGATGGCACATTGACTGTCTCGAATGAAAACCCATCTACAAGGTGTTTGTTGGACTCCCTCCCTAAAACCAGAGGGAGGGGGAGTGGTCAAACCCTCAGAGAATGGGATTAATCCCCCCACCCCCAACACACCCCACCCCTCTTATTTACAAATCACATCTACATCTAATATTCAGCACAATTATTCGACATTGCGGTGACAAATTGCAGAATTTTCGCTCCATTCAAGATACTCTCACGAACGTCCTCATATGTCATTTTAGCACTTCAATGGTTGTTTTGGAGCCTTGCTTGGGGATATTTTTATATTTTTTTTTGGGGTATACTTTATATTTTTTTGGCTTTTTGGGGTGCCTTGTATACCTTGTGAGTGGGTTTTCCACCCACCCACTAAATTTTATCAAGAAGTATCCAGTGTAGAGGCAACTCATATTTTACATATTCTAGAACCTATTGTCGGTACTACTGTTGGTATTCTTTCTGCTTCAGCTCTACCCCATCAGGTTGATTCTACGGAAGAGAAATGGCAGGTTTACACTTCCAGAAGGAAGAAGAAGAATGGAGATCTACTAGAACTCAAAAGTCTTATGAATAATACTTTGGTTACTACGGGTAATGGTCAGCACCTTACCAATTTGCTAGTTGGATCTCTACCGAGAACTAGAGCCAGAGGCAAGGCTAGATTAGGATGACTCACACTTTTTCAACTCCCGGGTGGTTTTTTGGATTTTTTTTTATTTTTGTATGTACCCATCTTTTACATTTTTTTGTGCGTGTTGTACCGTGTGGGTTGGGTGTTTAGGCCCACCCATACAAACCTATCTGTACCTTTCTCTTTAATATATCAGCCATTTGGCTTTAAATATATATATATCGAGCCAAAACTAGTCAACGCGAACAAACAAATCTTTGTTTGTGTTCAGGTCATTTATATTTCGCGTGCAAAAAAAAAGTGAGTTCAGCTCGTTTGCTTGGCAAACAAATCGAACTCAAGCTACTTAACGAGACGAACGAGTTGTTCATGAACAACGAGCCGTATTGACAACCCTAATAGTGGCAATATGAAATAGGAATATTTACATATATACCACTAAAATAGTGGTACTTTTGAAGTGATATGAAAGATCTGGGTGGTATAAATGTCCTAGACAAAGTTTAGGTACTAGATTATGTAAATATATAAGAATTAGGTGGTATATATGTAATCCCTATAAAATTTTCCGATCAAAACTAACATGCACTCAGGATCACCAAGGATTTCATGGAACATAGATATACAACTAAAGGTCAACATGTGCATCTTCAGCATACACAATCCCATTCAGAATACTTGATGGAGTCATCACATCAAAGTAAAGCAAAAAGAGTGATAACATTGAGATAACCTCTAAGAAAATGGGTAAAAGAACAGTAATACACTATAAACAATAAAGGTTGGAAGGGAACAAGCATGTTCACAAAAAAAGATGAGAAACCATGACGCTCAATTGTAGCTAAAAGTAAACCTTCTATACCTGACCAAGCATTGCAGCTTCTGCTTCAATTCCACCAACTCCCCAGCCAGCGACACCTAACCCATCGATCATAGTTGTGTGTGAGTCAGTTCCAACCACACTATCTGGATAAAGAATGCCTTCATTGTTGAAAACAACACGACCAAGGTATTCCAGATTCACCTATAAAATTTGTAACAAAAGGTATTAGAACTCGACATGGTATTCCAGATTCACCCACAATATATGTATCAAAAGGTATTAGAACAAGACGTAAATCAAACCTTGTGATCTAGCACAAATTCTAATTCCTTGATTCTACCCTAAATTTCTAATAAATAAAAGCCATAAAATGAAGGAAGAAAATTATCTAGAACCATACTCCGATAACCATATTACCTGGTGCACTATACCAGACCCTGGTGGAACAACTAGCATGTTGTGGAATGCATTTGATCCCCATTTCAAAAAGGCAAATCTTTCCTTATTGCGTCTGAATTCAAGTTCCATATTTGCCTGGACCGCATTTTCTGATCTGGCAACATCAACCTGGACTGAGTGATCAATGACAAGATCCACAGGTACCTAAAAAAAAAAAATCGTTCATCATATTGTCATTAATGTCCAAAAAGGAAAGAAACGGAACACAGATTCGCGTCTAAGCTGTAACCATTTTCAGTCAACAAAACATCTAAATTAGAAATCAAGAAATAATAATTATGAAATCAAAGCAAACAAAATGCACGCACACACAAACACAAATAACATAGGGATAGACCATTAGTTCCTTTTTTTTGGAAGAGATGTGTCAGTGTGTCGGAAGGAAATATGAAGGAGAAAGGGGAAAACAAGAAATAATAATTATGAAATCAAAGCAAACAAAATGCACGCACACACAAACACAAATATCATAGGACCATTAGTTCTTTATTTTTTGGAAAGAGATGTGTGTCAGTGTGTCGGAAGGAAATATAAAGGAGAAGGGGTAATATAAAGGAGAAGGGGTAAAATGACAACAGTAGAGGGATGGCAATTATGCCTTGACAAAAGATGAAATGAAGTATCCAATAATTGATTTGATTGATTGAGAACCACAATACAGAGAGGGACTCGCAACTTCTGACTCTCGCTAGCTGTGATAAAGAATAAGAGTTCATTGTATTAAATATTATATTTATTCACCTTATACAGTGAAATAGGGATGAAGATGTTAGACTGGCAGCTACAGCGCCAGTCTAAAATTCCCCCTCATGCTCCACAGAGTCGAGTGGTCCCACTTAACCCAAATTGAGCTTGACATATAATTTGAAGGCATGTTTCAGGTGCAAAACTAAAAGGGCAATTTAATCATCTGTTAGTTATTATTGTTTGGTATAAACAGGGCTTCATAGATTTGGGTGGAGGTGTGTGAATGTTGTCTTGAATCTAGAATAACTTACCTCTCGAATTGTAGATTTATAATTTATGTATTTGTCGGCGCTAAAAGGGGATAAAGTTAAAAGTTTGTAGGTGATTTGTTCAAAAGTTGTCCGTAAGAAGCTGTCGGTCACAGGAACTGAAGTCTCGTCGCCCGCTTCGGAAGGACGTTTTAATTTATATATATATATTCTATCCCAAAAGATAAACACTAGACTTGAGGGTAAGTCTCGATCAAATAAACTAAGAAATATATGACATCTATTTGATATGTGAAACCATTTTATTTGCCTACAAGTTCCCCTATTTAATAAGAAGAATTAAATAGGGTTTATAGCTGGGTTCAGAAAGCTTCCTATAAGGGCAAAACCCTATAGTCAATTACATCTTAGATAACCGAAGTCACCTAACTTAACTCTCGATAAAAATCAGGGAATATTATCTTCAAATAGGTCAAAAGGGTAGGACTTTTCAACGAGATCGGACGAAGAGGTGTGAAATAGGAAAGACTCGAATCTGGAACATTGTTGAGGAATCCAAACGAGAAAGAACTAGGGGAGGTCGTAGATCCGGAGGCGAACCCCGGTGACTTCCCAGTCTATCCTATGGTTTGGCTTCAGTATTGAGAAGAAATTATTATAGTGTTTCATCCTGTCAATTTTATTTAATTAGGGCTTATATTTGTGT